TCTGCTTTTAAAGCCTCTGCTGTCAGGCCGGTGTCTGAGAAATTTGACGGGAGGCACAAATTATATCTGTCAAGGTCAGCATCAGCCATGCCCGAAGCCTGTGTGGCTGCCTTAGAACCTGGACACTATGTGCATATAACCAAGAGTGTAAGCACTGTTAGTGAGTATACACAACAAGAAGTATAAGCACTATTAGACAGACAATATACCCTAATTGTAAGTATATACAGTGTAGTGTATAAAGACCTCTACTTAACATAGAAAAGGAGTAAAGCTGAAGTTTAAAAAGACCCCAAAGGCCACAACAAAATCAAGTATTTTAAATGCCTACTTGCAGTGTTCTCCTTTCCAAAAACAATGATTAACTTGCAATGTGCCTCGGAACTTGATAACAAATTTGACTAGTCAACTCCCTAGCACAGCCCCCTCCACGCTGCCATGTCATAGACCTCTCCTCTTCTGGAGTGTTTAGGCCTCATTCACACAGACGTGCACAGCCATACAGAGTGACAGAGAAGCCTACTCTGGCTGGGACAGGTGCTGCGTGTAGCCGTCTGCACATCTCTGACAGGACGCCGCTACACGCTGACCCCAACTTGCACATCTGTACAGGTATGGATGTACGCCTTTGGATGCAGACAGTGTGCATCCAAGGGCCTGCATCTCTACTTGTATAGATGTTCATGTCTGAATTGGAGTACAGCCGCATCCTATCATAGAGATATGCAGACAGCTACACTCAGCACCTTTCACTCCTGGGCGCAGGTCACTACAGGGACGTGCACGATATACGGTTGCGCACATCTGTATGAATGAGTCCTAAATATGCTGTATATGTCCTCCTCCACCTCCCTACATAACCTTTTATGTAGCAGTGAAGGGGAATACTATAGAGTCACTTGAGTGATAGTTTTAAGCCAGCTAAAATTGAACATGGCAGCATCCAGCAGCAGTCTCTGGACTTTTGGATGCACAAGGGATGCATATGTTTTAGTGCCTGTTCGCACGACGTCCGTTTTCTGTGCTGACCTGATCGGTACGCTCCTGCACTAAAAATGCACCCCAATGTATCCCTATGTGTTTTATGGGCTACAGTTCTCACGTGCGCAGTCCGTTCAGGTTACGACAGAAAAAATACTGCATGTGACATTTTGTACGGTCCGGAAACGCAAAACGCATCAAACGCGTCAAAAACGCACTGCAGCTAACATACTGACAGCCCCACTCCAGCAAAAAAAATGTTTTTTTTCTTTTTTTTATTGGAACGCATCAAAAACGCGGCAAAACACATAGCACCGCGTCTGCTGATCCGCACCTGATCAGGACCTGAAACTCATGTGAACAGGCCCTTAAGGCCAGCTTTGCTAGGCTGGATTTTGTGGGAGGATTCCTGCACAATTTAACTCCCCCTCGTCCGCTATTTACCTGTCGGCCTGTCTTTTTTTTATATCACACCCTCGCTTCACCTCTTTCTTCTTTCTATCCAAATGAGTATGCCCCCTTTTAGGCATACTGACCATTCCAACCACGGCACACCTCTGTTTGGCATTTGCCTTCCGGGCCTCTGGGCTCTCGTTGCTTTCGGGTCATATCAGCAGGACTACAAATAATATAATGGAAAGATTGTTGTTGAAATAGTCTGGCATCAGGGTCTCTTTAACTTCATTGTGTGTTCAACATGCTGTTTCTGTAAAGAGACCCTGTCAACAACTTACAGAATTAGCAGGCACAAGCACAGTAATCAAATATTTAAATGCTTACTTGTTATGTTTTTTTTATTCAATATTTTCTTTTTTTTTACTTGCAATGTGGCTTTTGAACTGCTAGAAAATTTGACTCTATTCCTTAGCACTGCCTCTCTCTCTTTGCATGTCGTAGCCCTCTCCTTTTTGGGATTCTGTGCTGGCCCAGCTTCTCCGTCCGTCACCTCCCTTTTATGTAGTTGCTGCGGTGGAGTGAAGGGGAATACTATTTAGTGTCACTTTAGTGACAGCTCTGAGTCTGCTGATATCACATCCAAGATGGCGGGTGCCCAGCAGCAGCCTTAAGTCTTTTGGATGTCTACACAAAGCAGGCTTTTACAGGTAAATAACATTAAATATGTTAAATGCACATATCATTTTATGGAAACATTTTTGTTGATATGAATGGTCTGGCGACCGGGTCTCTCTAAACCGAATACTGGTTTCATTCTTTTTCTTTTTTTTTTATTATAATGTTGCTGCCTGATTCTATTATGTACCTATGTGATTGTGTGCAGCTTATTATATGTGCATAATATATATGATCCCGTGTTTAATCATTTAGGAGATGGTGTAATAGGTTATTCTGCCAATCATTCCTCACCTGCTGGGCCAACCTTCTGCTGCATCGCAGTGTTTTCCCATTTACCCTTTTTCATGTCTAAGTGTACTCCGCACTACTGTATCTCTTGCATATATCTCCACATTCTTCTCATTAAAGAACGCCAGCTTTTTAAAAAGCAGGAAATTAAAAGATTTTAAAATCACTGGTTCTAACTAATGAACTATTACCTTGCAACCGAATAGGATTGAATTTGCTAGCCATGCTCTGATGCCCTCACAAAATATGTATCTACAATTCATCATGCTGACAGAACAGTTCATGCAGGAGATGAGCAAGGAAAGCTCTCCATGCACTATTGAACCCAGCCTGTTATTCCCGGTTTAGATATTTAGTTATGTCGTGTATAAACATTTGGGTATCTATGTGGTATTCAGACATCCATAAACACCCCCTCCCAAAAACAACAGGGAAAATCAGATCACCTTGTAATGGCCCAGATGTGTGTTCAGTCCTGAGGACTTGAAGTGGTAGGAAAGCTGTGTAAAGGATGCGGTTTTTGCTATACTCTCCAAGCATGCTATGCAAAGGCACACTTGCTGTTGAACCTTCTTTCAGTCACCCATTCTGCCCCCTGCTGCTGCCACTTCCAGGTTCCATGGGAAACCTCTTTGGCCACTGGGTAGCCACTGATAATGTAACTCATGCATACAGAAATGACATCATCCCTGGCATAAGGCCTATTCACGCCATCTTAGAGATGCCGCAAATGAGCTGCGTACATTTCATGGAGCGTGAGTCGTACAGTGTACACTAAAAAAATTGCTGGAGGAGAGAGGAAGTTTTTTTTTTGCCAGCAGAGACTTTGCGTGTCTCTTTTGCCAAAAATGCCTACCTCCCAACAAATGTTTTTTGTTTAACTTCCACTTTAAAGAAATGCTGTAACAAACTGTGCTTATGATAAGCCAATATATAAATGAAATATATGAAAAGGGTCTTTATGCTTATAGGGTCTGATTCATCATGCTGCAGTTGTACTTGACACATGCTGAAGTGGCCTCTCGAACAATATTGTGCATGCCTTAAGTGCTATTGCAGCTACATGAATTCAGGCCAAGCATTGTTTTTACTGTTTATTGTACTGGAGTAATGACTGCACACTGAAGAGCACACAGCTTAAATTTACAGGACCGAGTGGAAACATCTGAGCAGTGACTGTTGAGATACCATACAAAAGCAGCCTTTAGGCGAATTTCCAATACATTTAGTTATAGTGTGTTCTTTTTAAATAAGCCTATAAAGCCAAGAGATTCTCCAAAATCGGATAACAAAAAAAAGGAAGTGATGGAAGAGAAATGCTACTTTATTTTGTACCGAATGTAATGTGAGCACACAACTGGTAAATGAAGTGCAGAAGCTGTCATGTGTGGGCCATGCCTCAGCTGCACTCTCAGCACTATGTTCTGTTATGCCTTGAGGTGGCCATAGACAGCAGAGGGCAATCGTTCTTACACACACAGCAAATTAAGTACTTTAGCAAAGGATAACATTTTATACATGTTTTTGTTGCTGTCTGGGCTTCCTGATCTTCAGCAGCTTCTTTGCACCGCTTCCTGTCTACTTGCATGCATTTCTGCAATTGCTGCACACCATTATTAGGGCATGTTCACTGAAGGTGACAACAGTGGAACATCACTGTGCAATGTGGCACCACAACCTGTAGTCTGCAGCGTTAGAGTGTGTGCCAAGGTGACGATGCAGGGGAACAGTTAGGAGGCAGGGCCACAGCATTGCAACTTTATAACAGGAAGTGCCTGAAAAAGGACCTTCATGGCACCCACCAGATACTTTAAAAATATTGAGAATCGCTTCTGAAATTATATTAATATGTTAATAGTACTTTTATGACATTTTAGTGATTGGGTTGTCATATTTTAGGCCTCATTCACATGGCTACAGAGAGGTGTACACAGACAAGTAGGAACATATTTCTACTCCTGGGGGTCACAGGCGTATGCTTAAAGCTGCGGCCAGCAGCTGGTACAAATGAATGACAGGCTGACAGATGCTATGGCTGTACACACTTACCACACATTCGATTAGTTACATGCATACAAGGACAGATGCATGGCCTTGCATGCAGATAGTTTGCGCCCAGTGCCTCTCCTCTGTTCCTGTATGCATGTAACTGCTTGAAAGTGCAGTGAATTGCATACAGCCATGGCATCGTCAGCCTGTAATTGGTTTGTACATGCTGCTGTGATGTCCAAATGCAGAAATATGCACCTTCTTGACGTAATATATCCCTCTGTGGCCATGTGCATGACGCCTTAATGATACACTGAAGCTGGCCATAACTATCCTGATCCTGCAACTAGGTAATCCCTTGCACCGCAAGCAGTTTCAGGGTACCCCTAGGAGGTTACAGTGAGCATTTCTGATGTTGGAAGCATTTATCATTGCAGATTTTCCAACTTGTTGACAGGATGTCTACCTGAATTTGCACAGGTCCTGTTTGGGGGCTTGTAGATGTCACCTTGAAGACACCTGCTCTATGATCAGCCTTACACCATTTGTGGCTTCACTTTTAATACTGAATCCATTGTTAATTTTATTTTCCTTTAAACACAGTAACACAAAATCATAAGGTTACATTTTTTTGCTGTTTAACATATTATAGTATCTCTTGTTTTCAGGGTAATAAATGCAGGAAAGAGCACACACAATGAAGATCAAGCAAGCTGTGAAGTGATGTTTGTGAAGAAGAAAGCTGGAATTCACTCCACCCCAAACAAGTCTTCGTCAAACAAGCGACGAACATCATTACCTAACGGGGAAGGTTTACAGTTAAGAGATAGCCCAGTAAGTTCTCTTTTTGTTGGGAATACAAGTGTGATATGTATCCCCCCCGACTCAGTGATATGAAGTGGCACTTGCTGGTCATCTTTTACCATGGAGGTCTAAGCGATCAGTAGTCCCAGCAGATATATTAGGGCATGTTATCACTTCCATTGTACCCTGAAGTCAGTGGCGTAACAATCGCCATAGCATCACAGACACAGCTCAGCAGCTGTGACAGCCAGCCGCTGCGGCAGATGAGGGCGTTGTTCGGAATGGAGGAGGCGGGGCCCGTCTCCTCTTACATCACTGGCCAGCGACCTAAGAGCAGGTGGGGCCAGTGATGTAAGAGAAGGCGGGGCTCGTCGATAGCAGAGGAGGCGGGGCCCGGGGACGGAACAGGAGTCGGGGCTCGGGGACCACAGAGGCGCTGACAGGTAAGAGATCTCAGACTCTGCAGAGCCCACTATAGAGAGTCTGTGGTGGGCTCTGCAGGGTCACTCTCCGCTGGGGCTCTGCAAGGGGCATGACTAGCGATCACGGGGCCCCATGCAACATTTTTCTATGGGGCCCTGTGATTTCTAGTTACGCCCCTGCCTGAGGTGCTCAGATGATAATCACGTTAAGTGCCCAATGACCATTTCACAAGTCAATGACCATTTCAAGCCTGCTCCCCTTTTTTTCCTTTTAAAGAAACCCAATACCTGGAGCATGTATTAATACAACACAGTGGTGGGTGTCATATCTTCTTTTTTTCTCACATTGATAACAATAATATTGTTAAACCAGTAGCACTAAAGATGGCCATACACTGTTATGTTTTTGGCCAATTCCTGTGTCTTGGCCAAAATTCTAATCATGGGTGGTTCTGTTGGCACCACCAGGCTTAATAAATGTTGAAGAAAAAAAATCAAAGGAGCCCAGTGGAAAATTGTCGGCCAAACCTTGACTGTAGCCAACAGTCACTTTTCCGGGGGGTTCGCATAGACGTGGGTGCTGCCTGTCTCAATAAAATAGCTGGCAGGGGAAAATCCTCCATCCACGCTGTTTAGCGTGGATGGCGGAATCAAGCGGTTTTAGATTGCTAGCTTAGTTAGCAGCAGTGTGTGTGGCATGTGAATGTCTTTTATATGATGTCTTCTGAACTTCAAGTGTAAGTGTACATTCAAGTTTCACTTTATAAAAACTCTTCCATTGATAACGGGGAAGTGAGATTATTGTTTAGTTATAGATGGAATTGGTAATTTGCCAGTGGGATTTTTTCCATTTATGGTTTTACAAAGAAATTATAAAAACAGTGCAGACATCTTATAACGAGAACAAAGAGTTTTGAAGCTAAAAGCATATTTTTTCCAGATTTTTTTGCTGTTATTTAACTGAAGTTTCTGTTTTGAATCAGCTAAATAGATTTCAGGTGCCTCAAAACAAAAGGTGTGCAAAGTCCTACAGTTTGCCTTCTTAAAGGTGGCCATACACCTTACAACCATCGCACGACTTTGCAATGGTTGTAAGGTGATAAAAAGTTTGTACGACCTGCCCATCTTGGACCCGCTGAGGGGAGGGGTCACAGATTAGGGCTGCAACAACTAATCGACATAATCGATGATTGAAAAAGTTGTCAACTTTTTCAATCATCAATTAATCGGCTTCCGATCGGTTGGCCCTTTTCACGGCTCCACACACGCTGCGCGCCACACTTCCTCCCCACCTCACGCTCGCTGCATCCACGATCCACACGCCGCACCTCCTCCCCGCCTCACGCTCACTGCCCGCCCAAATCCACGATCAGCACAGGGACGCGGGGAGAAGAAGTAAGGAGGAGCAGGTGTGGGCGGATGACAGCTGCCGATGGACAGGCCCGATCTCAGAAACAAGTTGCTGGAAGACTGCTCAGGTAAGCCTGCACTTTCCCACACATGGTGCTCTATAATGTATAGCTGGGATTTGTATTCCTCTATAGCTGATGGTACATTGTGCTGTATATTATACCATCAGCTATAGAGGACTACAAATCCCAGCAATACATTATACACTGTATGTATAATGTATTGCTGGGATTTGTTGTATTCCTATATAGCTGGTGGTATTCTGCATTGCGCTGTATAGAGGACTACAAATCCCAGCAATAATACATTATACAGCGCAATGCGGAATACCACCAGCTATAGAGGAGTACAACAAATCCCAGCAATAATACATTATACAGTGGTGCAGTGCCGAATACCACTAGCTATAGAGGACTACAAAACCCAGCAATAGTATAATATACAGCTCAATGCAGAATATCACCAGCTATAATGTACTATTGCTGGGATTTATTGTATTCCTCTACAGCTGGTGTTATTCTGCATTATGCTGTATAATGTACTGTTGCTGGGATTTGTAGTCCTCTATAGCCGGTGCCATTCTGCATTCATTGCTGTATAATTTTACACTTTTCATTTCACTATATTGCACACCACACTTTTTTTTTGTTGTTACTTCCACCGCTCCAAGCTTGCTCCTGTCATGGACTACAATCTCAATACAAACTAATAGTCCCATCACTGGAGCCATTTTTTAAAATGTATTTTATTTTATTTTTTATCCGATTAACCGATTAATCAAACTCAATAATCGGCTAACTAATCGATTGTGAAAATAATCGTTAGCTGCAGCTCTATTACAGATTATTGCAATGGTGAGCGGGCAGTGTGCGCTTGAGCACCTCGGCCCGTGCGGCTTTCGTCTTGCGATCGCGCTACCAACTCGGCGGGTTTTCTAGCGTGCTCGTAAGATGAAAGTCGTACGACCGTACAGTAAGGGCAGCGGGCAGCTTAAGAAAGAGTAGAAATGCTTGTCCCTTTGACAGCATGCTGCAGAGAAGAACCCTTGCTCTGTAGTGGCAGCAGTGGTCTCTCTGCAGAGCTCCATCAGCCCCCCTCTGCTGAGTCAGTCTTATGGCTGTGCAATCAGCAAACCACATGGTCCCTGAGGATGGGAAAATGGGTTTCCTGTACAGCATAGTGAGAGACTTGCTTTTAAAACAGAATGTAAGACTTTTCACCTTTTGTTTTGATCCACCTGGAATGCATTTATCTAATCATTTGGGCTTTAAATCTGTATTGTTACGCATTGCATTCCATGAGATATGTCTGATAATATGCCATGGTGGTTAGGGGGCTGGATCATAATTTTTTTAACTCAAACTATTCAGTTTTTGACATAGACAGTTCTATCATTTAAATCATTGATAATGGGTCTAAGGGAGTTTTCCTTATTCTCTGAAAAGTAAAAAAAAAACTTTAAATTAGTAATACACATTGCAGTGGCCTTTGGCCCCTTTCAGACGTACCAATCAGGAGGGAATCTGTGCACGGATGCCCTCTTAAACGGCATTTTATGTCACCATTGTGACATCTGTGTCTATCTATTTTTTATCCTCCATGAATTTCCAAGACCCCATGTTGGTCTATGGGGAATTTTCAGTATACATGCTCAGTGAATATTTTACTTGTTACAACTTTAAAAAGAAAAAAAAACATCAATTAGCTTACATACTTCTAGAGAAACAGCCCTTTCACACGTCCTTTCTGATCAGAGTTCTGTTTCGCCTTACCTGACTGTGCTGGATTGGGGGTAATCTGATGTAAGCACCTGTCTGTTTAGATCTGGCTGCCCATATACACTACTACATTCTACACACTACTTTCACATGGGCTTCCCGATCGGGTTGACCTGTCAGTTGTTTAGAAAGACCTGATTGGAATCCCAATGTCTGTGGACAACCGGATCTAAACAGACAGGTGTTTACATCAGTTTACCCCCAATCCAGCACAGTCAGGTCAAGCAATACGGAACTCTAACGGAACGTAACTAGCGTTGGGCTTCCAATCAGGTCAACCTAAAAAAACTAATCGGAAAGCCCATGTGAAAGGGCTTTTTCTCTAAAAGTTTGTAAGTAGATTAATGTTTTTTTAAACTTATTTTAGCAGTGAAATATCCACTAAGCGTGTATACTGATAATTTACTTTTTTCTATTTTACAAAAATCTGGGAATTTTATTTGGAATTTTTCTTCCAGGTGACCTCCATCATCTTCCCTAAAAACCTTTGCAATATTTTATTTGTAGCCCGACTATTTAAATCATTCTTTAGAATGGTTATCATATATTTCATTGCTGACATTACTCTCAACTGAGAAAAATGTGATAATGTTCGATTTCCTTGCCATGTCCTGCTCCAAAGCCTAAATCATAATGATATAGCTCAGTGTGTCAGTGTCAAGGAAATGATTGGTTCCAGTAAGCCGGTTTCATCCCCACACTTACGGTGCCTTCCTTTCAAAAACAAATTAACTGATAAAGAACATAGATGAAATGGCATTTTTTTCAGCCGCTGAAGCATGCAGCAATATGACAAACCCCGTAAAACAGGAAATTGAGATAGGATCATTTTGTTCACAGTGATCAGCTAAAATGCTAGAACTGAGCACCCTTTTATTATAGAATATTTGATATTCCTAGGTTACTCAACTCTCAAAGGTTTGCATACAAACTATACAGATAAACCAATTTAATAATAATAAAAAAAGTGAAAATGCAAACACATAGATATGAAAATACATTTTGTTGCTGCCTATTGGCTTTCCATGTGCAGTTTCTTAGATTGAATTCATTGTGAGCAAGAATTTTTAAAGCTAAACTCCAGGCCGAGATAACATACTCAAGTAATGAGCACTGTTATTCATCATTCATTCAATACAATTTTGTTAAATGCAAGCAGTGCAAGTACCTTGATTTGACTTGGGATCAGCCTCTTGCTGTCCAGAGTTCAAACTGGGAGAGGAAGACAGAGCATAAGGAACCAGTCAGTTTCACTGCAGTGCTCATGTGCTAACAAGGAACATGCTGATAGGAGGAGAGAACAAATTAATAGACAGAGGAGCTTACCAGTATGCTGCATTTTCGTTCTTTGTCCAGTCACAGGCTAGGGTAGGATCAGGATCTGTAAGTGTTACCTAACTGCAACAGAGAAAGATTATGTCTTCTGCCCTGCCAGGCAGAGCTGTGCCAATATCAGGATTTGCCAAAGTACAAATCCTTTGGCAGGTAAAACAGATCCGTGATATGTATTTTATCGATACATTTAGCTGTCTGCCTAAAGTGCAGCTTTTTCGGCTTTAGTTTTCTGGTTTAAAGGAGTACATATACTCCTGTGACCCAAAGTTAGCATCTAGCAGGCTACTGCCTTCTATTTACTGACAGCGCAGAGCCGCACTGCAGCCGGGAAAGATCCCAACAATATTGTCAGGATCCACCCCGCTGTCTGATTGACAGCAGGTTCTGCCTCTCTAGAGCCAGAGCCAGCTGAGTCCACCCCCTCCACTTTCTGTCCCTCCAATGAGCGCTGGAAGAACAGTGTGGGGAGTGGGGAATCTTTGCAGGGAGAAGACTGTAGCGATCAACATTTCGTGATCTCCCGGCTCTTAAGTATTGAGAAGAGTACATTTTACTCTACCAATACTTCTCCTTTTAACATTCCTCTTACAAAGTACACTAAAACCTAGTCTAGTAAATCTAGTGAAGAAGGCCTACCCTTGTTTCCAGTAAACCATTTGCTTCATAAATGTGGGGTTTCTACATGTTAAAATTATCTTAATGCATGATTCCTAACACTGGTTGAAGGCATTTTTTTATGTTTGTTTCTGGCTATAAAGCTAATGTTTATCTGTCTGATGGATCCTATGTATCTTTGCATCTCCATCACATTGATACCTTCTCTTTGAATCCAGTGTTATTGCTGTTCAGTACACCTGTAATGACTTTTGACATTCACCAACTTCAATCTTTTTGGCTATTGGCTCAATCCTTGAGCAGTAGCAAAGAGTTTGGACTTGAACTGTAATCCCCTGTAATATGGGGGAAAGCTGGAGCACTGCCTGTACGGCTCTGGTTTTTACGAGAAACAGCAGGAAATACAATGGATGCTCTACAAACTGCATTAGTGAATGTGGCAGTAAGAGTGGTCCACGATACGAAAAGTCAGCCTGCAATTATCCCCTTAGCCCACTCCTTCAGTATTGAAAATAAGGTTTTCTAGGTCAAGGTGGTGCTGCTGCTTTGCTTTTTTTCACTAGCAATTATAGGTGGTAAGTGCCTTCAGTAGGCGATAAATCTAGGTCTTAGGGTGACTTTTCGTATGCTTTTGTACTCATCATTGCTCTTTGTTTTCAGGAGGCGGACGGAATAACTTTTCAGTATTGGGCCCTGTTTGATGGACACGCAGGTGCTGGAGCAGCTGTTGTAGCATCAAAGCTTCTTCATCACCACATCACAGATCAGCTACAGGACATTGTAGACATCTTGAAGAACTCAGCAGTTTTACCTCCAACATGTCTAGGGGAGGATCCAGAAACTACTTCTAGCAATAGCAGGACTCTGACTAGAGCCGCCTCATTACGCGGGGGTGGCGGTGCACCAGGCTCACCAAGCACACCTCAAACGCGCTTCTTCACTGAGAAAAAAGTCCCACATGAGTGTCTGGTTATTGGAGCACTTGAAAATGCCTTTAAGGAAATGGTAAGGGCTCTAAAAGCTGTGTATACTGGTTTTCACTAATAGCTCTCCATAGATAAAAGTTTAAAAAAGTGGCATTTGAGTGATCCCAATTGCTGGCTAATTGAATAAGTCTAAAATGCAAGCTTTCAAGACTTGGCTTAGACTTAGACAATAAAGCAAATTGCAAAGTACTGTAACCCATATCAATCAGAGCTCATCATTCTTTGTTCTGACTGCTCTTCAATGATGAAAACTGAAGCCTAGTCACTGAGCATTACCCTACATTTCACGTTAGCAGTTCCCTTTTGCAATGATTAGATATTGCTAGGGCTTTTCATATTAAAATAACACTAACGTGTACATTTTGATCTGTTTGGAATTTGAGTTTCAAACACAAATTAAGCTGTAATTCCAGATACAAGTGTTTTTAACTTAGCCACAACTTACTTCTTTTTGGGTAGAGTAGGGAATGGTTAGAGCTTCTGTCTTGTTCCTCACACATTAGAGCACAGCCGCTTCTTCCTGGCTGGACTAACGCATGCACTCAACACACCCATTCATTCTTGTGGACTTCTGAGAAAGAGTCCATACTCAGATGTCAATAAGAGTGAAAAAGTGCGCATGCACAGACCCTACCGGGAACATTTTGACAAGTGGCTCTGCAATCTGGCAGGCGATATCTCAATGAATAGGGGACAGGTAAGTGTAAGATTGCAAGGGAAGGCCTACCACACATATACAGCATGTCACGTTTGGCGAAAAGTGCCGCTTGTCAAATGTGATCATTGCAATAAATGTGACTGCACCGCACTGGTATTGACATAGAATCCCATTAGGATTTTAAAAGTTGGGTTCAAGAGGTGGCAGTACTGCCTCCTGAACGCCAGGCAGGTGCTGCTCCCCCACCCTCTGAAAAACAATTGCTTTTCAGAGGGCGGTTGAGACTGGCACCCATGTGAATGATGCCTTTGACCAGGGGTGGGCAACTCCAGCCCTCCAGCTGTGCTTTAACTATAAATCCCAAAATGCCAAGACTGACAGTTACAGGCATGACTTCCAAAGTCTCATGGGACTTGTAGTTCCATGAGAGCTGGAGGGCGGGAGTTGCCCACCCCTGCCTTAGACAAACCTAGTTTTAACTGAAGTGCAGCCAATTGGCTTTAATTTTTTTCATTTTCTAAGCTGTGCTAAAAAAGCTGAATGATAGAAGCTGATTGGTTGCTATGGACAACTGCACCGGTTGACACAGAACTAGTTTCAGGCACTTTATATTAATTCCCTCCATAGTGTTCACAGTGGGAAATTAACCCACCACCCCTTGCTCTCTTCTTCTAACATCATGCTTTGTAACTTGGACATCAAAATATGTATCAGACATTCAAATATGAATCTGTCTTGTTTAGAGACCTTCTTGGGTCTGAACTCCTTAGCTAAAACAATTTGATATCAAATACATTTTCAGTATATTACACAACACCTTTTCGGAATTGCTGTACCTATAGTAGTCTGCCTGATGTTTTAATGTTAGCCTGTTTTTTTAAATGAAGGAATGTTAAGCATTCAGTTTTGTACCATGCTTACAAAGGTTGTTTATAAGGTTTTATTTATTGCTGAATCACCTAGTGACTATGACAAGTATAGATAAGTATATAGTAAGTGCTCCCTGACAAACTACACTGCTGCCAGTAGTAATAGGGCTGGAATGTGCCACTTGTATATAGTGAAGTACATTAACGCCAGGAGGCATAAATGGTAGCAAAACACACCTTTCATCCAAATGCTGGCATCCATAAAACTAGCAATTTGTCAACACCACTTTAATGTTTAGCTAAATACAGCTGATTTTTTTTGTATACTGTAGTCTAATACATATATCCTTACAGCTTTAAACCTGTCATTGTACTATTAAGCTTCAAATACCTGAAATCATCAATTCCGCTTATTTACTTTGGCACTTTCTTATTGATCTGTGTTTAAAAATAATGGCTTCTCACGGCTCATGTCATTCTGAAGGGCCACTTGGCAAAACACATCATATTGATCGGCTGATTGCATGAATGGAACCAAGTCATTAGGTCTGGTTCATTACCAAAGTATTGTGTGGGCCTGTTATGTCCTCTTGTACATAATACCATAACAAATACCTAGTGAGTGAAGTCTATCCTGCCTAAAACTGCCTATACACCTTGCGATGATCGGACAAAACTTTTCGTCTGATGATCGAACCGTCGTACGATTTTCAGACGGCGGCCCCATGCTGCCTCGATTATCGCAAGGTTCAATCAGCAGTAATAAAAAAAAAAAGCACCTGGATGAATTGCGATAATCGATCGCACGTATTTTTGTTTGCGCATGAGCAATGTAAATCGTAAGAATTTTGACGTACGGAGACGCCACCAACTTTGCGAAAATCGTACGATCGACCAAAGTTTTCTAACCTGCAGGTTAGTCAAAAGGACAACCGAAAAGCTGAGCCATAGAAATGTGTATGTATACTTCCATTGGTGCTGTTTGGCACAATGTAAGTATATTTAAATTATCCCTGGTACTGCCCCTAGTCCAATCAGAGAATGCCTAGCATACATCTATAAAAATACTAGGCGTTGGCTGAATGGCCAATTTGCTGAGCGAGTAGTCTCCTGTGTTTTAATGCAGAGAGGAAGTCGTTCAGCGGCATTAGCAGGACTCTGAAGATCACTGTAAAGCACTGTAGTAGCTGTGGCTACTACAGATTATTACACGATCCCCATGGCGCTGATAGACATCATTTATATATACTTACATTGTGCCAAGCTGGACCAATATAACTAGGTGGCCAAGCAACGAAGTTGCAAGGACACCTATTGTATCTGTTCAGATTATTTTTATTTTTATTATTATTATTCTGCCACTTTTTTCAAATGTCTGTAACAAGTGCTCTGTAAGTCAAAAACTCATGAAACGTTGCACAATGGTAGAGCCATTTTATAATATAAAGGTCATAGGTCACATGATGTGGCAGCCATCTTGGTTTTTGTGAACTATTTAGAAACCATGCATCTCCAGTACCGCTACAGATTTAAAACTTGCTGTGTGATCTTATGCTATGCTCTGTTGCCACATGAGCTAATTGTATCGCTATTGGTCACATGGTTTGGCAGCCATTTTGGATTGTGCAATATTCTGTCAACAACTTAAACTCTGAAACCATTTATCAGAATAACTCCAAACTTTGCACATATGTCCAGGCTGACCTCTTCTACCACGGTTGTAGAAATAGCCCCGATCCCACAATCAAAATGGCCGCTGAAAGCCAGTGGTGTTTAGATAGTGTTATTATTGTTATGGCCTTTTTTTTCAAAAGCCTGTTATAAGCGCACTGTTACTCGCAAACTGATGCAACTTGGCCCAATGGTACAGCTCTATGGTATGCCCAAACTTTTGCAGCATAAAGGTCATAGGTCACATTGCCTGGCAGCCATCTTGTTTTTGGTAATTATATTCAGCTCAATATTCAAACATCCATTTCTCAGAAACTGATAAAGCTTCAGATCAACAAATTACTGTGTATAGTCATGAAATGATCTGCATTCACAACTGAACATTACATGTCAATTGGTCACATGGTTCGGCGGTCATGTTGAATTGTGTCAAATTCGACAAATATTTCTATTATTTTGATGCTCTTTTTTTCAAATGCTAATTATTGTCACACCGTTATGTAAAAACTCATGAAATTTGGAACAACGGTAGAGGACTGTGCTGTGTTTAAATCTTGGAAACATAAAGGTCATAGGTCACATGCTCTGGCGGCCATCTTGGTTTAAGCAAACCTATTTTTGACCATTTTCAAACATCTGTTTTTTCATAACCGCTAAGGCTACAGATATACAAATTAATATGTGTGGATATATTTAGCTCCACAGTCGTCTATGTGTATTACAAGTCATGTTACCACATGGTTTGGCAGCCATTTTGGATGGTGCAATATTCTTCAAACAACTTAAACTCGGAAACCATAGATCAGAATAACACAAAACGTTCCACATATATCCAGGGCGACCTCTACTACCGCGGTTGTAAAAGCAGGCCCGATCCCAAAATCAATATGGCCGCCACAAGCCAATCACTTTTTGACATTGCACCCAATTGCATAAATGTGCATTTATATCACTAGTGAAGTATGTTAAACAATGCAAACAATCAGGAAGCCTGGAAAGCCAACTCCATGGTTGGCCGGAAAGCCAACTCCATGGTTGGCCGGAAAGCCAACTCCATGCTCTCTCGTCACAAGTGACGAGAGAGCATGGAGCCGCCTTCCCGGCCAATCAGGCAGCCGGGCGGCATGTAATGACGCGCTGCCCGGCTTCCTGATACCGGAAGTATCGTGCTAGGCATCGGAGCATGTTCACTGGCTGCCTAATATTTCCAACCCACTTCCAGGTGCCATAATGTAATCAATGTTATTCACTTACCGTCAGTAGTCATAATGTTATGGCTGTTCGGTGTGTGTGTGTGTGTAGATAGATAGATAGCCATTGCTAAGTTCCCTCCTGTATCTCAGAGGTTGCTGCATATTTTAGGGCAGGTTTCCCTGGATGTCGGGAGTTTTCAGGCTGTCTAGTACAGAGTGGATTTTTCTAGTACAGAGTGCATTTTTCTATTTGGCCAGCAGGTGGCAATGCTGTTTAAAGGATTACAAATTATTCTCCATGCCATTTGTCTACATTGTACCGTGCAAACTGTTTTGTGGTCATTGTTCCTGAAAGTGAGTGTGGGTATAGGAACTTATCTAGGCATGTTGCAAAGTGTACCATTCTAAATATATTATAGAATAAGCTGTATAGTCACCTGCTAATGCAGCACTTGCACCTAAAGTATATTCAGGATAGCACCCTCTATATATTTGTTTCATGTTCCCATTCACATAACATACCTTAAAAAAATTGCAGCTGGATGCTTATTTCTGGAAACTCCAGGACTGAAAATGTCTACTTAGTTCACGCTGTTTAAGGGAGCTAGGGAAGTTTTGTTTGCCATAATTAACCCTGTTTGTATTGTGCTGCCAGATTTCTTTATCAGCTGCTAACTAGAAGAGCAAGACCATCTGTACTCTGTTAAAAATTTCAAGGCTTTGTATTAATGCACTTAAAAAAAACAAACTATCCCTCAGTCTGTCCCCTTATCTCCACACTGGTATCTATCTAACCACTAGAAGCTGCCTAAGGCCTTGTTCACACCAAATGCAGAGCAGATCCGGTCAGGTTTCTGCACACGCACGCTAGTCTTTTAGATGAGTTTTTGTCTAAAAAGTTTAAAGTTAAAAATGGGCTTTCAGTGCGTTCCAGGCATTTGCATGCGTTTTTGATCCAGAGCAGGTAAAATAGGGCTTGCTGCAGTTTTTTCACCTGCTCTGGAACTGCACGCTGCGATGTGAACTGGAGAAAAAAATACCATTGGAATACATTGGACACAGTTTTGATCCGGTCTGCAACTGATCTGCTCTGCGCTTAGTGTGAACAAGGCCTAGGGCCTTAGTATCTGCAAACGCATCAAAAACACATGCAAATGCCTGGAACGCACTAAAAGCCCATTTTAAACGTAAAAAAAATATATATTTTTTTTTTTAGCCAAAAACGCGTCAAAACGAATCTAAAAGACTAGCTTGCGTGTGCAGAAACCTGGCCGGATCTGCTCTGCATTTGGTGTGAACAAGGCCTTAGGCCTTGTTCACACCAAATGCAGAGCAGATCCGGTCAGGTTTCTGCCCACGCAAGCTAGTCTTTTAGATTCGTTTTGACGCGTTTTTGGCTAAAAAAAAATATATATTTTTTTTTTTAGCCAAAAACGCGTCAAAACGAATCTAAAAGACTAGCTTGCGTGTGCAGAAACCTGAGCGGATCTGCATTTAGTGTGAACAAGGCCTAGGGCCTTAGTATCTGCAAACGCATCAAAAACGCATGCAAATGCCTGGAACGCACTGAAAGCCCATGTTAAACTAAAAAAAAAGCATTTTTTTTTACCAAAAACGGCCCGTCACGCATCAAAAATGCGGCAAAACCCACTGCACTGCGTGTGCAGAAACCTGAGCGGATCTGCATTTAGTGTGAACAAGGCCTTAGGCCTTGTTCACACCAAGCGCGGAGCAGTTGCAGACCGGATCAAAACTGCATCCAATGTATTCCAATTGTATTTTTAGCTCCAGTTCACATCGCAGCGTGCAGTTCCACTGCAGGTCCAGAGCAGGTGAAAAAACTGCAGCAGGCCCTATTTTACCTGCTCTGGATCTGCAAACGCATCAAAAGCCCATGCAAATGCCTGGAACGCACCAAAAACGTCCCGGAACGCACACAAAAACGTGGCACAACCCACTGCACTGCGTGTGCAGAAATCTGAGCGGATCTGCTCTGCATTTGGTGTGAACAAGGCCGTAGTGTTCTATGTGTAATCCTCCTCTCAACAAACAGCTAGAAAACTGAGAAATAGTTTCACGTTTTTTTTCAGTATGCTGTGAGTGGGAACACATAACACATAACACACCATATAGAAAGGGTTTCTCAAATTTGACTGCAAACATGGGAATAACCTCTAGTTATGCGTACTAGCACATTATGGCTAAAAGTTTCTTTTTTTTTGAACAGCGGACACTTTACATTCACTTTAAATCTCCTGCGCAGTCTTAGCCTAATAAGTATGACACTACAGGTCACTCAGCCTGCCTCCTTCCTAGAAAGTAAGCATATAAGCTGTTATTAAAAGAAAAAACAGCCTTTCAGATATTGGTTCTTACACCCGACTGCTATCTAGAATGTATACTCGGCGTCAGAGTTTCGTTTTTTCTTAGTTTTTCTCTCTTTTACAGGGATTGTACTTTACTTTGTCCCTTGTTTCAATATGCATTTTAAATGCCCTGAAGTTGTGTTTGAAAAGCACGGTGCTTTCAAAAGATCACCCATTGCATAATTTATCCCTGTACTTTAAAAATGCTTTTTTTTTCACACAAAAATACCTGGTTTTATTTCCAGTGACTTTATCCTTACATTTCCCCACACATACTTTAGATTCTACAAATGGTGCCCTAAAGCCATGCTAGTGTGTTTTAATATTCTTCCCCGTACCATGCCCAAAGCTCCTGGATAATGTACATGTGCTGAATAATCAGACGATATGAGCCTTACAGTCACAGCAGGCCTTCACGAAACCTAGAAAAGGGAATAGGGGATTGACAACAAATCTCTTTGCATGGACAACACGCAATTCAAATGATTATTACAGTCTTCCTAACTCAAAGTTTAAAAGGTGAATGCATTTCCATGTTTAGAAGGTAATATGAAATTCTGCTTTTAGAAAGCAGACCAGCATCCATAAGAAAACCTTAAAGGAGAACTATGGGGTCAGAGCTTTCCCCCATAGTGCTCCTTAGGGTAACGGGAGGACACAACTAGCGTCCTCCCGTTACCCTAAGCTCAGTATACCGCGAGCTACAGCTCGCGGTATACTGAGACGCCACAGTATACCGCGAGCTACTGCTCGCAGTATACGGAGACGCTGAAGCGGATCCCGACAATTATGTTTGGATCCGCCCAGCTGCGTGAGTGACAGCTGGCTCTGCCAATCTAGAGGCAGAGCCAGCTGTACGCTCCCACTCCCCCGTCCGTTCCGCCCACCTCCCCTGTCACGGCAGAGACCTGTGGCATGATCGGGAGGTGAGCGAACACCGGTATGTGTTCTCTCACTTCCCGATCTACTGAGCCGACCTGTGACAGTATCATTGTCACAGGTCGGCTAGAACTTTGAGGTGAGTGAAAAGCACTCACCTCATAGTTCTCCTTTAATAAAACCACTGTCGGTTGCCTTGTAGAGAATGAAATCCCCGGATTGGTAGAGATAACATCAGGCTTCAGTCAGCAGCAGGTTATTTCTTGCTTGTGGCCCACAGTTTCAACTGATGAAAAGAATTTCTTAAAGCCTGTTTCTTGTGCCAGAACTTTGCTAGGCTTGAGCCGCCTTGAATTTAAGAAGATTTGATGTTTCATCAAAGCACGGAGCAGAGACAGATTAGCTCACACAGATCATACGTTCTATCTTACTTTGTTGCATATAGGAAATGATGACTTGTACAAGACTGTTGCTCTTTCCAAACTTTCCAAACTTTCCAAACTTCCCATATGTAACCCCTGCGGCCATCTGCATAATTTTTTTTTTCCCATACGGAGATGGAGAATGACAGATGATTGCTATGAAGGCTTTATCGTTTCTAAAAGATGAAAGAAGAAATCCGGTCTGTTGAAAAACAAGACAGCCTTTTGAACTGAGAAGCTGTATTCATCACTAAATATTGCCAGCTAGGGGCTAATGTACAATCCAGTATCTTGACACCCTGAGAAGCTGTGACTGTGCATATCCCTTCTGCTGTACCATGCTGCGTGGCAGAAAGGAGACGTTACTGTTGTATCATGAGAGCTGATTTTATTTCACTACTTGGCTCAGTTACATACCTCCCAACTTTCTGAGATGAGAAAGAGGGCCACCTTCCAGTACAATGTATTTAGGCAATGGACACATCCCTGCTATAGCCCCAACTATGCGGACCATTGAGAATTTATATGCCGAAAAGGATAGCGTAAATCCAGAATTGTTGTGTTCTACCATTAGGTTTTCTTCATATTGGCTTTTCAAAATCGCAAGATAATTATGGAATAACAAATGTTTTTAGATGTACCCTGTTCAAAAAAAACTACAACCTATACTGTTGCATATAGCTGGTGTCCCATGTTTCTTGCTGCCATCTACACTTGGATGTCTAAGGATGTGGATTAGCATTACTCTTTCTACTACCCTTTTCACCTTGATGCCATGTCTAAACGAAATTTTGAAGGAGAACTATGAGGTGAGTGAACCACTCACCTCATAGTTCGAGACGATGCGTGACAATGAAACTGTCACACGTCGGCTCAATAAAGCGGGAAGTGAGCGAACACATACCGTCACTCGGTCACTTCTCGATCATCTCTCTGCAGGGATTCCCCCCTCCCCGCTCCGATCCTTCATCGCTGACTGGGGGAGGGCGCGGGAACAGCGGGCTGGATCTCAACAGCATTATCTGAATCCTTCCCAGCTGTGGCGGTCTCAGTATACCGCAAGCTGTAGCTCGCGATATACTGAGCTTTGGGTCATGGGAGGAGGTTAGTATATGTCCTCCTGTGACCCTGAAGAGAACTATGGGGAAAAACACTTACCCCTTAGTTCACTTTTAAAGGGTTTGGCTAGCTCGCCATACCTGTTGTAATCAACTTTAAGTTTACAAAAACTATGCAATATAAGGGACCTCCCTAAACTATCCAATCAATTTGTATCCAATCCGGTAGGCCCTTGTACCACTTAATTAATGGTAGAGCGAAATAAGATTTTACATTCAGATTGTAACGTTTGTGGTGAGATTTAAAGGGAATTTTTAATGAGACAATTATGTAAGCTGTCATTGCTAACCTCCCATTTTGAGAATCTTGCCATTTCCATAGCGGTCATGTTGATGCTTTGGATTTGATGCAGTCGAAGTTGCTTATAAGTAATGCTTTTTCCAGGTCTGTGACTTTAAGAAATATATAAGATACAGCCAGGCAACTAGCGGTTGTAGAAGGGGGCCAGCAGTATTAGCCCCCATACTTCTCTCATGATAGAGTCATTTTAAAATTCACAGATGTTTTATTTTCTCCTGTTGAGGAGATAGATGTAGTTGCCTTCTTGTTTGCATTGCACACATCTTTCTTTATATATTTTATATCTGTAACAGCTGGACTTAAATGTTTCTATAACCACTTTCCATACTACATCCTAAATTACAACTCTGTGCAGAATGGCTTGCCACATATTTGTATTTTACAGTAAACTCAGCTCTTTAAAATCAAGCGTAAGTTAGCATTTTTTTTTTCTCGAAACATACAGCACCTGATTTTGTTGTTTCTTTTTCACTGCTTCCCTCAGGATCTGCAAATTGAGCGAGAGAGAAGTTCTTACAATATATCTGGAGGCTGTACGTCTCTTGTCGTTGTCTACTTACTGGGGAAAATCTATGTAGCCAATGCTGGTGACAGCAGGTAATATTTTGTTTTATATTTTCTGCTCTTGTCCTCATGAGAAGTATAATCTCTATTCTGCACTGTCACATCTTCCCACTATCATGTTTTTAACTACTAATGGTAATAGATGTTCTTGCTTGTTCACTAAAGTGACACTAAATTTGAGTTCTACCTAGAAAATGCATTCATTAACAAAAATGTACCTTATTTGTGTATCACTCTGCAGATCATCAAATCTCTGAAGGGGACAAAAGTAGCCACCCTCCAGAAGGAAGGACAATGTTGGCACAAATTCAGAGATGATTTGAGGCTCTACAGTTTGATACACAAATAAGGCCCAGTACTGTTATTAGTTAATGCATTTTTAAGATTTAACTCTTGAGTTAGGTGTCACTTTAATTTTAACATTTAACAAAATTGGAGTTTTCCTTTAACCATCCAGAGGTTTAAGGGGTGCGCTGTATAAATCTGTAGATAAAATTGAAAGCCTCCTTAAATACTGTGCAATGTATAATAATCTACACGTATAGTTTCCTAGTCATCGAGTAGTCATTGACTCCTTTTAGCACAGAAACTGTCATAAGCAGCTGTATTTGTGACATTTCCCATAATGACAGTCACTGTGAAGCGGGACATTAGAAAGCTTCTATAGATTCCTGCAGCTCAGTAAGAGAAAGTAATTTGCCAGCAGTTTATAGTATCCTAGTTCAGTGACCCTAGGCAATCCGATGCATAGCAGATATCTTGGATCTGTACATGATTTTTTTTAAATCAAAGTATACAAGCACTTACATTCTTCTCCAGCTCGAGTGTTGAAAGGTAACCATTGAAGTACAACATTGCAGCAATATCATTGCTTTATGTGAGCCGTTGACAGACAAGATGTGAAATCACCGCCAAGTGTTCTAGAATACATTTTCTTAATTATAGAAAATTGTCATACATTGTCACTTCCCATAGTCCATCAGTGAGGTCACTTTTTACTTGTCTCCTAGTTGTAAGCTAAAGGCTGCAGCTCTGCTAAGTGTGAAAGATTTAGCAACTGCGTATCTGTAAAGCTGACAACTAGCCCAGCTTTGTGTCATGTAAATGAATGTGTTGGATGACTACTAATTTAGTCTTACATCTGCTGCTGCCTATTGCTTGCATTCCAATGAGGAAAGTACTGTCATTACCTCTACCATTGTCTTTATTCAATAACCTCTATTGCATTTGAGTGCACCACGTGCATTTAGAAGCCAAGTTTGCTAAAAAAAAAAAAAGCTGTGATATGTAAGTATTAGGGGTTCTTGGTAAGCAGGATGTCCATATAAATAGTACAGACTCCGTTATTTGCCAGGTGAGGAATACTCTATTATTTAACACAGCAAAAACATGAACCTGACAAGGAAGCATATCGTTTGCAAGTATGCGGTTGGCAATTCTCAAAACATATTAATAAGTCAGAGTGCTGCTACCTCTGTCCAGGCTTGTTCAGAACGGTAATTCCCTTTACCTGAAACTTGTGTACATGGGCTTGGTGGGCTTGGCATACCACAGAAAAACATCCTTTATAAAAAAGACCCATTGACTGATCTAAATTCATTCAAAATACATTTAGTTAATTAAAACAGCCCTGTCCCCTCTAACCTACAAAGTCATAATATTATAGAAACAAAAGGCAAACCTACAAATTGCAGGTAAAAGCACAGAAAAATCAATAATTTTAAATGCTTCCTTGCAACATTTTTTCCTTTCCATAAATTACTTTTTTTTAATTCACCTGCAATGTGCCTTTGGACTTGTTATGGGATTTGACTGTTCCCGGAAGAGTCGATTCCATAGCACAGACACAGTTCCCCCTCCCTCCTGCCACTTGATGGCCCTTTCATCTGTCTGTGCTGGACCAGCTCCTCTGCCCTTCACCTCCCTACATAACCTTCTATGTTGCCGCTGGGGATCATGTGAAAAGGAATATTATAGAGAAGGCCCAGACAATTCTCACCCATCACAAGGAGCCAGCAGTACACAACCTGCATATGACCATATAGGTAGCTAAAGAGATACATAGTTGAGCAACGAAAACATTTGTTCATTTCATTTAGCTTCCAACAGACCAAGCCCGTGTACACATCAGTTCCACTACTGTACCCTCCCTGCATATCGGTTCCACTACTGTACCCTCCCTGCACATCAGTTCCAATACTGTACCCTCCCTGCACACCGGTTCCACTACTGTACCGCCCTGCACACCGGTTTCACTACTGTACCGCCCTGCACACCGGTTCCACTACTGTACCGCCCTGCACACCGGTTCCACTACTGTACCGCCCTGCACACCGGTTCCACTACTGTACCGCCCTGCACACCGGTTCCACTACTGTACCGCCCTGCACACCGGTTCCACTACTGTACCGCCCTGCACACCGGTTCCACTACTGTACCGCCCTGCACATCAGTTCCACTACTGTACCCTCCCTGCACATCAGTTCCACTACTGTACCCTCCCTGCACATCAGTTCCACTACTGTACCCTCCCTGCACATCAGTTCCACTACTGTACCGCCCTACACACCGGTTCCACTACTGTACCGCCCTGCACACCGGTTCCACTACTGTACCGCCCTGCACACCGGTTCCACTACTGTACCGCCCTGCACACCGGTTCCACTACTGTATTGCCCTGCACACCGGATGATGAAGGAGTGAAGGATGAGGAAATGCTTATTTTTCTGTGAAGTCAACTGATTGTATTTAATCACAGACAACTATGATTACCTGCATCTGTCTACCGATTAATGTAGAAGTGAACGGTTGCAAGCAACCTGTGACCCAACATCACCTATGTAGTTTAGGCACTAAAGAGACCCTACCTTCACACTGGTCACGTCTACAGACAAGGGGGCCTGTAATAGAGGAGGCAATATACTTACCTTTTTAGTGGTCCATATGTTGAAAAGCTGCCACTTTACTACCCCTTGCTAATGCAGCTATTTAATACTTTGGGTGGGTCAAATACCTACCCAGCTCCTTTATCCTGGCAGGTACGTATTCTTACTACATAGTTTTTGGTAAAAATTAGATTGTTTAATCAAATCGCAAGTTGCATGGCCAGCTTTAGGTAAAAAGTAAGTAAACTGACTGCTATTGTCGTTACATTTCCTTTAAATGAAGAGACAAACACAGGAATGCAGTACCTAAGCATGCCATTGCTGCAAACATATGGCAAAAAGCAAGGACAGATGCCACGTGGGAGGAAAGTTTAATTTGACATAGTATAAACAGAGGGTTTAAAAGACGTTTGATGTTTAGGTGAAAAATGTGAATTTCCATGTAAAAAGAAATTATAAATATATATATATATTACAGTACTGTACAAAAGTTTTAGGCAGATGTGGACAAATGCTGTAAAGTAAGAATGCTTTCAGAAAAAAAAGTGTGAATAGTTTATTTTTAGCAATGAACAAAATGGAAAGTAAATGAACAGAAGAGAAATCCAAATCAATATTTGGTGTGACAACACTTTGCCTTCAAAACAGCATCGATTCTAGGTACTTGCACACAGTTTTTGTCAAATGTTTATTAGATTTTGAAGGTTATTAACAGACAGTTCTGTATTACATTATCCCAAACATGGGAGTATTAAAGAGAACAGTTTTTGAAGGAACTCGGCAGGTAGGTTGTTCTAAACATTTTGGAGAACTAAGAACAGATCTTTTATGGATGTAAAATCTGTCTCTTCATTAATCCCGGACAAGACTCTATGTTGAGATGAGGGCTCTCAGGGGGCCAGACAATCACTTCCAGGACTCCTTGTTCTTCTTTATGCTGAAGGTGATCCTTAATGACATTGGCTGTATGTTTGGGGTTGTTGCTACAGAATACATTTTGGCCAATCGCATGCCTCTTTGATGGTATGGCATAATGGATAAGTATCTGATTGTATTTCTCAGCATTGAGGACACCGTTGATCCTGACCAAATCTCCAACTCCATTGGCAGAAATGCAGCCCCAGACTTGCAATGAACCTCCACCATACGTCACTGTTGCCTGCAGACACTCATTATTGTACCAATCGAAAAGAGGGGTTGTTCCCTGGAGTTCTGATATACCTTAAATTTCCCCTTTAGTATTAATTAATCATTTGAATAGGTCCTCAAAGGTCATTTAACCAAAATTAATCGGATCAAAAAAGAGGGTAACAGTGTTTTACCAGAGAAAACACTGTGAAAGAAGGTTATTAAATTGACCGAGACCTATGATTCATATCAAAATATAAACTTTATTGATTACAAAAATAATGTTTCCGGTGTCTGTTATTTCACTTCTCAAATTACTATTAAAAGAACAACGTTGTTCATGACACTCATACTCCCATTCATTCATGCAGACTAAGCGTTCCCCCAAAACTTGGCAGTGTTTGATTTCCTGGTCGTTCCCTGAAGTGGGAATATCCTCAATATTATACCCGTTTCTACTCCATGATAAAGTTCCTGCTTAGCATTAATATAGGAGGTAATTTATTCATGCCTGAGGGGTCTCCAAATTCTTTTTCATCATATATGGTTGTTCTTGGTATACAGTCAATTTAAGGGGGAGACTAGTGCGGGACCTATTGATATTATATAGTTGTCTACCGTACTCACTTTTCGTCGTCTCTTACCCCTCTTGTCTTTTTAAGTCCGTGAGTTTCTGTTTCAATTTTGACAGTCCTGTCTTCAGCGTATGTTTGTTCCGTAAGGGTACTTAATCTCACAGCTCTTCCACGGTTCTTAAGACGTATCTATGAGCTTCCATTTATAGATCCAAGAATGTCCCAAAAGGTAAGGTGCTTTCTCCGGCAGTTGTTTGATCTGTGGTGATTTCCAATTTCCTGGTCCTCAGATATTCTGCCAACACTCCAACGTTTTCTCTTTGGGATTTTTGGCGACTCTAAGGCTTGTAAACATTATTTTTGTAATCAATAAAGTTTATATTTTGATATGAATCATAGGTCTCGGTCAATTTAATAACCTTCTTTCACAGTGTTTTCTCTGGTAAAACACTGTTACCCTCTTTTTTGAACTCATTATTGTACCACTCTCCTGCAGAAATGCAGCCCCAGACTTGCAAGGAACCTCCACCATACGTCACTGTTGCCTACAGACACTTATTATTGTACCACTCTCCGGCCCTTCGGTGAACACACTGCCTCCTGCTACAGGCAAATATTTCAACTTTTGATTCCTCAGTCCAGAGCACCTGCTGCCATTGTTCTGCACCCCAGTTCCTATGTTTTCATGCATAGTTGAGTTGCTTAGCTTTTTTCCATGTCAGAGATATGGCTTTTTGGCAGTTTGTTTGCCGAAGGGCTGGAGAGTGGTGAAATTTAGGTGGCCCTGTTGGCACCGCTCTGGACCACAATTTCTTTCCAAACATTTTCGGCCGAAGAATGCCTGCATCTAGTATCTGAATCCAGTCAGATGCAGGTGCTGTCTGGGTATTCAGCAGCGTCTGCTGATTACAATAACTGGCAGCAGGAGATTTATCCATCCACACGGTTTAGTGTGGATGGAGAAATCTTATATACTTTTTATTTTTTATTTTTGTTCAGTCCAGAGGGGCTATCTATTTGTATATAGCAAACCAATGGCAAAGAGCACAGGAATTTATCAGTTGATAAAATTTCAATAGTATATATGACAGACAAAAAGGGAAAAAATAAGGGAAGTTCATTGTTTAGGTTCACATATACTTTTAGGATTGCCTTGATGGTTTTTCTTTACAACCCACATATATTGATGCTGGGGCCACATGCTAGGTTTTTAGAAAAATGTTTAAATTTTTTTGTATTGTGACTCTTTGACTTTTATTTCCTGGTGCACAGCATGTGTTTGTAATGGTTATACTTTATTTTTTAATGATTACATTTGAGCTGTTCTAATGGATGGTCTAGAAGCATCAATTAGACTTTTATGAAACATCGCGTTTTTCATTTTTAATAAGAAAAAAATGAGTGATCCATTACAAGAAAAAACAATTATGACCATAATTTAGAAATTTGGCTGTGCCGCTGTTAAAATGTGATTCAAAAATAATAGCAGCAGCGATATCTGCTGTGAGAGAGAGAATGGCTCTTTCTGCTTGAGACGTCTTTGGAATATTGACGAGTTCAGACTCTGCATGCGGCAATCAGACAGTTATGTGCTACTACGAGAGAAAGGCCCACAGCCACAATCTGCATATATTGAACAATAAACGTAGATGTACAACAGCCTTTATCATGTAATAATTGCTATTTTTGCTTTTTTATTATTATTATTTGTTCTGCTAATAAACACGTGTTTTAGCCAGATTTCTTTATTTATTTTTAGACAGAGTGAGTAATGGTTGGGAATTTATATTAATGTCAAAATGTTTTTAATCTATTGCACGTGCTGATGAAATCACTTACAGTGAATGCTGCTTCTTGATGTTTTAGTTTCCTGCAAAATCAACTGGTCCCCAAGTACTGATATCCTGTATTAGGATGGCACATTTTCCTTGCAGGGTCCTATGGAGGAACATTTGTGAGTGCCAGAAAGCTACGTGTCTCCACAAACACCCAGGATACAGTCAGTGAACCCATAGCACTCAAACCCGCTTTCTCCAAGTAGTAGAATAGGGTGCTGCGGCTGGCAACCGTCACGATCAAAGTAAGAAGTGAGACATCGGCACTCCAATTGCAAATCATAAACGTCTGGTTATTGACGTAAATGCAGCATAAATACACTCCGTGCACGGAGTGCATAATTGCTGCATTTATGTCAATAAACAGACATTTATGATTTGCAATTGGCGTGACGGTGTCTCACTTCTTCCACAAACACAGCAAGGCAAGGCACTCCCAAGCTCCTCCATGCTGCCTGCATGCCGCTGCCTCCCTCTTCTCTAAACTAGTAGATAGGAAGCTGCTGAAGACTGCTTTGTCCCTTGTGATCTTGTACTGGATAGGAAGTTCAGGGAAGCTGAGCTGAGAGAGTTGGAGCTGTTCAGAAATACCATCACTGTAAATGTTTGGGCATTAATATAAAGAAATACTTTGCTGGGCAATGTATAGTTGTTTGATCTGGATGAATCATTGAAAAACGTTTGAGAGTTTAATACTACCGTACTTTAAGTGTATCTCCTTGGGGGGGGGGGTAGGAAATGAGGGAAAATCTCCAAGGGGACAAAGACCACCATAAAAACGCAAAAGTTCTGATCTTTCTTTACTCATTCCATCACTTATTAAAGTGAACACAGCTGTGTCCAGATTATGCAACTGTTTACATGTTCTGAACACACATTAAAAACATGTTAAAGATGTAGCCTGTACTGGCCACAGACTCCTGGGATATGAACATCCTATATCACAGTAGTCTACAGGCAACTCCAAGAGCAATGAGTGCTCATAAGCAGGATTGGCAGTGTCTGCGCACTCAGTGCTCTAGCCGGGGAATCATATTGTTTATACATTGCCATAGTATCCACAACCTGTAAATAATATGTGCAGCACAGTGGTGTGACTTGAACTAATAGGACATACAACAATTAGCCTTGTCTGTGTGTTGACCATAGTGGGCAACGCTGCCCAACGCATATGGTGTGAATGGGCCCTTAAATATTTGTTGTGATCTTTGAGAAGGAATAACTTTACACTAAAAGCAGCTGAGCAGAGAGGTGAGTGAGGGCTTGTTTTAAAGCTCTTTTACTGCTTGATAAGAATATATAAACAGTTTAATATTCATCTTTTGGGAACAGGTGCACTTTACCAACAACATTTTCGGCTGGGGTTGCATGGAAATGTTTTCCTTGCTGACTTATTATAATGCTCTAGTACGGCAAAGGTGGATTATTTACACATCAACTCCCTCCCACCTGCTATCACTTCATCCAGGGGTGCTCTTACTTTTTATCAATCTTTCATTTTCAAATATACATTAGCTGTTGCCAAAAGGGTGCTTCTACCATATAAATCCTAAGGGCATGCAACTCTAAATCAAGGCAAATGCAGGCTGCTTTTGATTCTTCGATTTGCATTTACTTGCGTCTTGGATGTTTTAGTATCACTACTTAAGCGTTTAGTTTAACCTTCCACTGAGCTGCTACTAAGATGGTTTAAGCTACATATCATATTACATTGACCTATATGGGGAGGAAGCAATTTAGAAACTAAGGAATGCCTATGTACACAAACTCTGAGTGAGAGGAGTGATTTCCAAATGCTTCATTTCAGCACACATAAAGTTATGAGATCAGTTATGGTGCAATTTACTATGAATGGCAGCACAGTGCACCAACGCATGTGTTCGTTACTGCAACAACCTGGGGTGAATGGGCCCTTAAGGTGAACTCGCAAACAAACACGCAATACCTCCTTTTTTTTTTTTTTTATTATTCAAGCAGTGCAAGTTCCTGAATTTGACTTGGTATCAACCTTTTGTATTTTCCTGTACAGCTGAGCTTAGACTGGGAGATGACAAAGCAGCCCAAGGAGCCAATCAGTTGTTTCTGCAGTGCTTGTTTGCTAACAAAAGGGACATGCTAATATCGTACAGGCACAGAGAGGTCTGCTGCTAGGGCCGGGCTTTGTGCCAGGCTATGTAAATAGGTGGATGGACAAAATACAAATGCTTTGAGAGGTAAATCCGATCCCACATGTGTATTTTATCTATGTTTTTAGGCGTTCAGCTGGATTTCAGCTTTTAAATAAATGACAAGTAATCTTTTATCAAAAAAAGAACCGTTCTTGTGTTTGAGAACAACCTACCAGTACCAGATAATGCATATGAAGGAAGGTCACACTCCTTTAATGCACTCTGCCACATGCATTTCCAGAATATATTGGCATTTGTAGCCATTACTTTGACTGCTGGTTAGTGCCCGGGATAAATGTTTTATCCAGGTCATATGCTATAGCATAGGCATAAATTAAACAGATGTAATTGAATTCTGCTCCACACAACCGTCAATGTATTGATTTTTTTCAGAAAAGTGCAGCTAGCATGCTGTTATAAGGAAACATTATGTATGAAGAGAAAAATCAAATCCATTGTTGGATTGAGATATTGTTGGTCAATCAATAGCCAGTGGACTACTTACTGAGTGTTCTGTTTTCAGCATCTCATGACGAGTACAGAACAGTTTACCTTGTCTGTCCTCTTGCTGGTACTTTAGGTCATTTTTAAAACATTTTTAGGGAGAACATATTTATTAATAGTTTGCCATATTAATCCATCTAACAATTTCTGCTCTCTCTTAGGGCTATAATTATCCGAAATGGAGAAATAATTCCAATGTCTTCCGAGTTCACTCCAGAAACAGAGCGCCAAAGGCTGCAGTACCTGGTAAGTCGGAGCAGATATTCTGTAAGATGGAAGGGGAGCTCCAGCCTGGTTATACTATTATGCTAGTAGTATCAAAATATTCTAATAAATCTACCTACATTTTTTTAACTGTGAAAATGCTTTCCATGTGGTTGCACAGGAGGGAATACTGCTGCTATGACATTGTGTATATTGGCTGGTCTGTAGACCGTGCAGTCTATTAGGCTGCAGATTTTGACTGCACTGCCTAGTGCACGCCATAATCTAAAAAAGATAAGAAGATATACCACATCTCCTCCTCCTCCTCCTCACTATAGTTGTATGTGAGGGCACCTGTGCTGAGGAGCATGGCTGATTTTTCCAGCATAGAGCACTAGAGCAGGATGGCCGGAAGCACATTTCCAGTTAGAGAAAAAGGCAAATCATTTCTAAATGAAAATCAGTCCGAGGACTTGAAGTTTAAAAGATGTGCTGAAAAAAGGCAAGCAGATGCCAAATAATTAGTCACAAGTATTACCTATAAGCTCCCTGCAACATATCCTTTTCTCATTACTTACTTGTCATGCCTTGTTCTGTTTCTGTGTGGAGGTGGCCATCTTGGTTAAGGAATAGTGCTTTGTTTCCTCATGTCCGAACTGCTTCCCCAATGACCTGCAAGAAGCTGCAAGAGAGGTTTCACAAGCGCAGATGTACAGAATGAATGAGTCAAAGGTAATGAAATGTGTGCAGTGCTCATTTTGCGCCAACAAGCAACACAGTAATGACATTACCAAATCTGGTGGGACCAACAGGCAGAGGTAGCAGTGCCTTAGATGATCTCACACTTCAGAAATACAGGTAGAAGTGCCTAGGCACACCAGAAAGTTCGTTGAGAAATAAAAGACAGAGTACATTTTCAGAGTACTGCTTAGGCACAATGTTTACTATAACACCATAGATCTTTACTTTAAAACAGATAAGCATATGGGGGAATAGCACTATAAAGAGAAAAAAAATGGAAGACTTTAATTGAGCTTTAAGTGTGATACTAGAGTAGTGAGTGACCTATATTTTTTAAACATCCTAGCAACCCAAGAAACCATTGATCCTCACTGTTAGCTGCTGGTCTACAGCTGTTGGAGGGTGTAAAGAATACAAAATGGGTCAGATCATGTGTACTCTTCCTCAATAGCCACTTGATATGGTTATGTGGTCTCATTAATTTATTCCAACCCAAGTTTATCTTTGTAGCCAGAAATAGATTTAGAATAATGGAGAAAAATAAATTCTTAAGAAAACACTTGATTTTAGTAAACATACGGACTTTTAAGGTACCTCAGACAATACATATCTAAAACGGTATAAAACCTTTATTAAAATTACATTAAAAAATCAATTATTATGCGATTATGATACATGACGCCATATAGCATTTCATATCCTTTCAGTAGCAGTTGATATCCATCAAGCAATGTGCATGACAGGTTCTGGAGAAAGTAGTTCTACGTGTTTCACGGCACAAGCCACTTCTTCAGGATAAAAATTCAGCATTTTATGGCCATGTGTATGAGCCCTAAAGTAAACAAAAGGGTTTGTCTTTGCTTAGTTCCTTCTGAAAATGCTAGTTGCCTGGCAGTTTTGCTGACTCACGGGTTTCTGTACTTTCAGTCAGTGACTGGAGGTGTAAAACAAGAAATCCGTATCTGTATACTTGTTCTGGGTTACTGGCTCAGAGTGCTGAAGTAAGGGGGTTTGCAATGACAGATATCATAGAGTATTTGCAGAATGAAAAGTCAGCAGGGGTAGCTTTCCCTTTTCTCTCAGGAAAGGTTTCCTTTAGTAATGAAAGAGATGCTTCTGATCTCTCATGGTTTCTCTAAATCAGATAAGTGTTCTACGAAGGAAGCTGGAAAAGCTTCTCCAGGTTTAAGAAAACTTTGCTTCAAAAGCCCTATAACTTATGCAGATGGCTCAGAGAATTGAAAGACTGTATATTATGCTAAACTGGCTGTAAACCAGAGAATGCAGCTGTTTAACCTAAGCATCTGGGGGCCTAATTTTCTTCACATTTGTCTATACATGCTAATGGCCAGATTTAACCACTTCAAGACCAGGTGTTTAGACCCCCTTCCTGGCCAGGCCATTTTTCAGTATTCAGCGCTGCGATACTTTGACTGACGTTTATTCCGTCATGCAACACTGTACTGAAATGAATTTTATACCATTTTTTGGGGACAGCTAGAGCTTTCTTTTGGTGGTATTTAATCACCACTGGGGGTTTTATTTTTTATTATAATTAGGAAAAATTATTGAAAATTTTGAAAAAAAAAAGTTTTTTGTAACATTATGTTAGGAAACATTTATTATTACCCAGTTTTTTGGTCAAATATAAAAGATCAGGTCACGTCGGTTAAATAGACACCAAACATGTCAAGCTTTAAAATTGCGCGCACCCGCGACATCGCAGAAAACGACGGCAACCAAAATTGGCCATAGGCGACACTTTAAACGTTTTTACCGCTCATCAG